TCTCAGACACATGATGAGATTTGTGGCCAAAATGAGGCACTTTTATGCGTGAGAGGGTTTTATATTCTTCCTCAGTGAAAAGACTTTAAGAACTACTGATGAATCCCAAGTCTTTCTATATTACCTAATCCTCTTCTGAATTTTGGACCCATATACTCAACTGCTTCCCAGACATCCCAAGGGTTTCCCACAGAAGATTTAAACTCAGTGTTGAAAATTGGGACTCAGTGTTAAAAACTCAGTGCTGCAAATTGGACTCAATGTTTGTTCCTTTCTTCTGCTCCCTCCTGCCTGCCCTTCCCTTTAAATTCTCCATTTCTCAACCATACACCAGATTTCTCAAGACAAGAACCTGGGAATCATTCTTGACTCTACCCTCTTCCTTATCTCCAAATACAACCAAACCCAAAGTCCTATCACCACCATGCACTGGTTGATCGAAAAAGCATACTAGTTGTTCTCCCTCCATTTTGTCACCCTCTCCTCCCAAATCATTGTCCAAAGTCAGTTATTTTTCTAAAATACAAATCTATTCATGTCACTGATCTCCTTTAAAGGCATCCACTCTCAGAAACCAAGTATAAACTCCTTAGTAAAGTTTTTAAGAGCATGATTAATCTGATTCCTAACATCAGCTTCCTTTATTGTCCTCTCAAATATGTCCCAGCCCCCAAAATGTAATTAGGTAACCTAAGCTCATTGAGACTGTCTTTCCTGTGCCTCTCAGCCTTCCAGTCTACCTGACAAAATAAAGTTACACCTCACCCTCCAGATCTCAGTTTATTGATCTTAACCAGTTGCCACACCAACACACTTGGGTTTAAATGGCCTTTCTAAATGCTCTAATGATATCTAAGACTTCTTTTAGTTGTCTACATTGCTCACTAGACTATGTATGCTCTTCACACAAAAGGAAGGAAATTGGTGTCAGTATATAGTAACTATTATCAAATTTAAAAACACATATGTTATTGAATAAATGAAAATAGGTTTCCAGGTACTTGTGTTAGTACACATGATGTTATTTAATAAAACTTTTCTACACAACAGGAATCCCAAACCCCTGGGCCACAGACCAATTGGTCTGTGGCCTGTTGGGAACCAGGCTGCACAGCAGGAGGTGAACGGTAGGTGAGCGAGCATTACCACCTGAGCTCCTTCTCCTGTCAGATCAGTGGAAACATTTGATTCTCATAGGGGAAAGAATCCTATTGTGAACTGCACATGTCAGGGATTTAGGTTGTGCTTTCTTTATGAGACTCTAATGCCTGATGATCTGAAGTAGGGCAGTTTTAACCTGAAAACATCCCTGCTCCTGCCCTGGTCCACGGAAAAATTGTCTTCCATGAAACTGGTCTCTGGCACCATAAAGGTTGAGGATTGCTATTATACAAGGTGACATGTCCATGAATAGTTTCAGATTTTGTTATTATTTCTGTTTTGTTCTTTTAAGATGATAGGAAATTCCTACTTTATCAAAGTTTCAAACAAGTCTATAACATCCAAAATATTGAAGACCATTGAGTTATGTATAAGATATTGCTTTGGTAATACTAAAACTCAGATTCTCCAAGACTGTTCCAAATTTACTTATTCAACAAATATTTATTAAAAGCCAATTTCAAACATTTTTTATTATTGTAGCCATCAATGATTCAAATATCCTGGAATTTCAATATTTTTAGCCAATAGCAATGGAGTATATTTAATTTAGGATTAAAACTTTAAAATTATAAATATTTAGAGGAAAATATTGAAATTAAGTAAGGTTCTAGAAGCATTACATTGAGGAATGTACCCTCTTTTGGGTCTTTATGATTTTTAGTATCATTATTATTTATACCAAAACACATGCAAACAACACAAAAATTTTTAAAGGAAAAGGACATTTTGAATTGTGGAAAAAATATTCATATTAAAATAGAGCAATCTCTGTGATCTTTTGCTATATTACTGGTAAGAAAATTTGATGCTGCTTTATTATTTCCAAAGAATTCCAAACTACATTTTTCATAGGAAATGGTGGAAATTATGCAGTCTCTTGAGTAATCTCAAACTTCTAGCAGACACTGTCCACAACAACAAACTCTGAAGTGGCAGTAAAGCAATATGACTATGGAAGTCTCCCAGTGGAGGGACTGCCACAGTGCTGACAATTATCCAGTGATTTGCTATGAAGCCTCTAGAGCAGAAAGTTATCAAGAATTCCCCCAACAGCAACCCTTCACATAGGCACAGTCCAGGAAACTTACTATCAACTGCATTACAGGCCTGTCACGCTAGGATTTTGACAGTAGGCAAAACAACTTTAACCACATCAACAAAGCAATCATCTAACAGACAAAGCATCATGCCAATGATGGAATAAAAAAAAAAAATCAATGACCATAACAAATTTTATCACCAAATAAAAGTCAAAATCTACTTTATATTGGCTCTGATCCTTTAAAAGTACTTCTCATTCTTTTAATCTCAAATTCTCTCTCCACATAGAAATTTAGTATTTTTCTTATCAATCAAATCATTCCTTTTCACTCTCATCTTTGGCCCATTATTTCTCCCTAAATTTTCTAGATCCATTTCTGTCCCAGAGGTTATGAATGGTTCTACAGTTCTTTCTGATATTAGAAAATGCTATAATTAAATTATATGGAATGTATCAAATGTGTATAGACAGAACTTTAAGAATGTGTGTGGGGGGGTGTGATATTCTTATGGCTCCATGATAAACTTCTACAATTATATTAATTCACCCACTCAATAGGTATTTGTTGAGTGTCTACTATATATTAAACACTATTCTAGGCATTTAAATACAGAAACAAGACAGACAGATACTTGTCTCCATGGAGTTCACAATCTAATACAGAAACAACAAGACAGACAGATACTTGTCTTCATGGAGTTTGCAATCTATTTAGCCAAACTATAAAGTATATATATACAACAAGGAGATAAACAAGAAAAAATCATAGATCATACATACATACAGTTAAAATGATAGAGTATATATTATGTGTTAAGATAGTTTGTGGTACTATGAACAGAAAAATAAAGAGTATATAATTCCAAATAAGTCATATAAACGATACTGTTCATGTCAAACATGTAAACAGATGATAACAATGTAAAGAACTGGACACAATAATTACAAGAAAAGATAGAGAGATCAGCTTTGCTTGATGGGCCAGACACAGGGTAAGTGAATATAGTTTAGGAAGATCTTGAAAGATGAATTGGAGTTTATCAGAAGATAAGGAAGGTAGAGAAGCGAACAGCATGAAAACATAAGATAACAGGAAACAATCAAGATTTGCAGTTTGCTAAAACATAGACAATGTATCGGGGATATCATATGATGAGGCTGGACAAAAGGCAAGAGCCAAAATAGAGAGGTCATGTGTACTATGTAGATCTGTAAAAAGATTTTAAGAAGTGGAATAAGGTAATGAGTAGAATTTTTCAAATATGGCACATGGCAAATGGATTTGATGGAAGTAGGTCTGTAGGTATGGAGAACAATTAGGAAACTATTGCATTTATTCATGTAGGAGTAAATGAATGGCAACTCTGGCAAGAAGCACAAAGAAGGGCAGTTCGACAAATGTCATGAAAGTGGAACCAATTGAATGTGGGAGTGAAAAAGTTGAAAGAATCTAGGAGACATCCAGGTTTATGGCTTGAATGATGAATGATAGAACAGTTTATCAATATAGGTAGTTACAAAATAGAAAGGACTGGGAGAGTAAGAAAATGAGTTCATTTCTCATTTTGGAGAAATTCAAGTCTAATTTAATCATGGCTCTTTCAATATCTTAGACAGATATGAGTTTGAAATCTAGTTCTGTCACTTAGCCGCTGTTTGACTTTGGGCAAATAATTTGCTTCAGTTTCTTCAGCAACAAAATAGACATAGCAGCCACCTTACAAAATAACAGGATTAAGTATATGGAGTGTTTACCTTTTGCCAAAGTTTTACATGTATTATCATGTTTAATCATCAGAACTACATTTGTGATTCATATTCATATTAATTTACACAAGTTAGTACATATATAAATTTATACCCAGAGATAGGCATATGGAATAACTCTAACAGTATCACCACATTGTCAAAGAAACATGTTCAGGATGCCCACTGCAAGTCTATTCTAGAGGCTTTTCTCAGAAGATCAAGGAAATGGAGAGGGCACTACTGATCTATTTTATTTATAGTTGATTACTCAAATTTTTTATTAGTAGTAAAACTTTAGCACTCAAGGTGAGGACATTTTAGATTCTCTCAGGTTTTCCAAGATAGACCCATTTAGGTTCATCTGCATTCACGCAGACAAAATGGTTCTGCATTATGTATTTTAAAAATCAGGATTGCAATCTATGAAAAGTTGGGTAGATATTTGTATGTGTGTGTAATTCTTTTGAAATTGGACATTTATGCACTGCAAGTGTACCCAGGAGTGTGGGAAGTGAAGGAAAGTTGCTCTAGACAGAAAATGAACAGATAGCAAAGAAGAAACAACTTTAGTGTACAAACAACTTTAGTGTAAAGTTATTTCAAAATATCCTGGTTTAAGAATAGGTGATCCCAGAATTCCTGAGTTAAGAATAAGTGAGGCCTTTTGTTCCAAGTCTCCAACTTTGCACAGTCTAAATCTGTAATCATAGCAGATTATGCATCACATTTTCTTAAAGTATGCATACCAAATATTAGCTGGGTGTAGTGGTGGACACCTGTAATCCCAGCTACTCTGGAGGCTGAGGCAGGAGAATCACTTGAACCCAGGAGGCAGAGGTTGCAGTGAGCCAAGATCACTCCATTGCACTCCAGCCTGGGCAACAAGAGTGAAACTCCATCTCAAAAAAAAAAAAAAAGTATGTATACAGAATTTTACTTAGAAAAAAATCACAGGCATATTGACAAGGTGACTATTGAAAATTCTACTTAATTGAATCTACATAAAAAATTTTAAACACATTATAATATCTGATGCATATCTTACCTTGGTCATTACTCTTTGCAGTCTTTTGCGTTCAAGCCACCCCCTGACATGTGCCTGCATGATGGTGATCATTCTAATCAATTTTCTGGTAATCATGAATTTTTTCCTTCCTCGGAACACTTGGAAGATTTCTATGTGTGGTCCAATTCTTTTAACTTTACTGTCAAGTTTATCAGTTTTACTTGGAGTATCTTTTATCCTAAAAATAAAATATAACAATTTCTTATTATAGAAAATATGAAAAACTAACACTTCTGTGGTTTTAAATTCTTTCAATGATGAATACATTGAAACAGGAAATATATTGCAACTTGTACATAGAACTCAATATATGATATCACCAGGACATGTCAATAAGGTTCTCCAAAGAAGGTTGAATATGCCAAGATCAGTATTACATGGATGAAATTAACCTTCTAAAGAAAAAAAATATCCAAAACAAAGTGAATTTGTCAGTGTATCTACAACTCTTCAAATTAGAATGTTTTCATATGACAGGGCATGTTAGTTCAAATAATTTTCCTGTCCCAGAAGCTATTTTAAACTATAGGGTATTTTAAATTATTTATTATTTGGCACTGATATTCTGTTAACCAAACATCATCTGAAAAGTAACTTTGATCCAAATGCTTTGAATTAAGAGGCTTTGTACTATGGTGATAGGATCATGGCTTATAGGATCAGCAGACGGGAAGGGTCATACTGCAAACCATGGCCAGTCAGCAATACTCTTAGAGGTGACTGTGGTGGTTAATAGTGAGTGTCAACTTGACTGGAATGAAGGAACAAAGTATTGATCCTGGGTGTGTCTTTGAGGGGGTTGCCAAAGGAGATTAACACCTGAGTCAGTGGAATGGGAAAGGCAGACCCACCCTTAATCTGGGTGAGCACCATCTAATCAGCTGCCAGCACAGCTAGAATATAAGCAATCAGAAAAATGCAGAAAGAGAGACTGGCCTAGCCTCCCTGTCTGCATCTTTCTCTCATGCTGGATGCCTCCTCAAACATCAGACTCCAAATCCTTCAGTTTTGGAACTCTGACTGGCTCTCCTTGCTCCTCAACCTGTAGGCAGCCTAGTATGGAACCCCACTGTGGTCTTGCGAGTTAATACTTAATAAACTCCCATATATATATAAAACATTATATATACATAAAACATATATATATAGGAGTTTATTAAGTATTAACTTGATTAGTTCTGTTAAGAACTAATTCTTAATTGTTATTAGTTCTATTTATTATTAACTTATTAGTTTTATATATAAATAAAACATATATATATACGAAAGTTTATTAAGTATTAACTTGATTAATATTAGTTCTGTCCCTCTAGAGACTCCCTAGTACAGTGACCCTAGCAGCTATTAACATTTGAGAAACTAAAGATTTCTATCATTAGATATCTGTAATCTTGGTGACCTTGTGTCAGATATATATATATATATACACACACATATATACATACACACATATATATACACATATATGTATGTATATATATATGTGTGTGTGTGTGTATATATATACATATACATATACCTGTTATGTTTTATATATGATAGACAGTTTTTTCAAAGTCTTCCAAAGTCTAGTTCTCTTGCAATTCTTAACATATAAAAATGCTTTCTTTTTCTTAATGTTTTTATTTCTGCCTCTCTCACAAATCGAGTTCCACTGACTGAGATGCCCAGGTCAATTCACCCACCAGGGCTTAGCCTTGCCCCAAAAGTGATCTGTACCTACAGCTCTGAATCTCAGACCCCAGTTTCTTGACTCTCAGAGTGAATCACTGACTCATGCTCACTTTGTTTCTGCATTATTTTCTTAGTCTGTTTTATCGAATTTTTGTGTTAAGTTGATTCTTAAGTAAGTCTTGTTCTGTTTTGTACATGGCAATTATTTTTCTTCTCTTGGTTAACTAAAATGTTGAGTATGATTTTGATTATTTGACCTAGTCATGAAGTCTCTGTTTGGTGGTAGAGGGCAGGAAATCCCAGTTCTGTTTTTTTATATTTGTCTTTCTGCAGTTTTTTCTTGAAGCTTCTGCTATCTCCTGATATTCTCCATATTGTATGTCATTTGAACACTAGCATAACACCATTTTTGAACTCAAGTTTGAATATAATTCAAGAGAAAATTTTGCACCCACTAGAATGGAGATCAGCCACAGATTAAGAATTTTTCATAAGAAGAATTTGTTGGAGATCTTTTTGACTTCCTGAACTCCCTACACCCAAGCAGCTACAATGAACCAGTGAGATTCACTGGAGCACAGCAAATTGTGCTTTATATTTATTATTGACCTATATCTAAATGTGTATAACTGAGGCTGCTAATTATCTTAGTGTCTGTGTGTGTACATGGGGGAAAAAAGTCCTTTCCTCTTTGCAAAAGGAAATTAATTAGCCTTGTACAATATTCTTGTAACTGTAGCTCTTTTGTATCAGTGGCTGATTCATTTTCTCATTGTCTCTCTCTTTCTTTCATTCTCTCAAAAATATTTTTAAATTACTGAGTCAATATATATCATTTTGTACACTGAGGGATAGATATCTTGTTAAACAAAGCTGCCAGAAAAGCAGAAGAACAGGAAACAAAGTTTTGTGTTTGTTTGTTCAAATTAAGACTGATTTTGAATAGTTTAGAAAAGAGGCAGCTCTGCATTCTAAGAGGATTTTTGCTTGGTTAATATAACAAATTTTAGGAATGGGCATTAATACATGAGATCAAGTGGGAATGCAGGTGAAATGGTAAGGATTACTTCTGGCTTGTTCATAGCATCAAGAACCACTGTGAAATTTAAGAGATTCTGAGTTGACATCTTTTTCTCATTTCTCTCAGAAGAAAAAAGAGGGCTGTTATATAAATAGTTAAATATCCAAGCCAAAAAGTGAAGGAAAGTTGCATGTCCTAACAAGATGTAAATAACAAAAGAATATGTATGGTGGTATGGTGATGGGTAATGTGTACTATTAAAGTGACAGCTCTAGGTCGTTAGAGTCTTCTGGTCTCCTAAGTTGCCTTGAAAGTCACAGAGTTTTTAATATTCTACTGAAGAGAGACAGAGAGAGAGAGAGAGAGAGAGAGAGAGAACATGGATATGTGTGTATGAGAGAGAGAGACAACACAGAAACAGAAAGAGAAGAGTTACTTATTTGGGGTAAAAGCTGTAGTTAATATGAATGATTGGAACTATATTATATTAACAATATAAAAAAATGCAAGCATGTTTACAAAATGATGAATGTTATCTTTCTGGTTTTTATAACAATTAAAAAAGAAAAGAATTTTATCTTAAGTCTGAAACAGATGAACTCTGATCAATATTATATCTCTAGATAATTGGAATGTTAAAGACAAATGGAAAAATTATAGAAATGAACAATTTATAGAAGACTTGATGAAAAACAAATTGTACTTACAAATAATGGGTTTGAAAAGAGGCTAATACACTAAATTTTGACAATGGTAAATTTTGATGAGCTTAATCATAAAACAGAAATGCTTGTGAATCCTTAACTATGAAACATTATATAGGTGGTATATTTTAAACATAAAATTATAATATGATACCATTTTTGTTGCACTGACAAACTGATTTTTGATTATACAGTCTGCTTTTAATTTGACAGAGAAAAGACCATTCTGTGACTTCAATATATTTTGTCTACATATCAAAAAGTTCCTTTTATCACATAAATATTCCTTTTATCATGCTTGTGAATCAAATCTCAAAATGTAAAAAGAAGTGACTAATCAAGGAAAAATTTGACCTAAGTTAAACATATAACAACTAAAATATTAATAAAGCCATGTGTGGTGGCTCCAAATCTGTTATCTCAGCATTTTAGGAGCCTGAGGCAGGTGCATCATTTGAATCCAGGAGTTCAAAAACAGACTGAGCAACAAGCTGAAACCCTTTCTCTATAAAAACAGCTATGAAAAATTAGCCAGGCATGGTGGCACATGCTACCATGGGTGGCTGACATGGGAGGATCGCCTGAGCCGAGGAAACTGAGGTTGCAGTATGCCATGATTTTGCCACTGCACTCCAGCCTATGTGACAGAGTAAGATCCAATCTCAAAATATACAAATACATATATATTTTTACATTAACATAAACATATTAGAAACACATGTGGTAAATTGACGGCCAATTAATGCCTCCTTAAATCCATATCTTTGCAATGTGACTTTGCAGCCCTAATCAACAAGAGGTGGAGTCTATTCACCCACTCTAGGACTATGAGCTGGTCTTGTGAATTGCTCTGGCCAATAGAATCCAATGAAAATGATAATGTGCCAGTTCTAAGTCTGTGTTTCAAGAGACATTACCGTTCCATTCTTTCAGAACCCTCATCTACATGACAACAAGCTAGCAAACCTCTGAAGGATGAGAAGTCACATGGGGAAGACAGAAGTTGTACCCACTGGCGTGAGCCCAAGTCTGTACCAGATCATCATTATTGTTCCATGAGAAATAATAAATAGCTGTTGTTTTAAGCCACTAAGTTTTATGATGCCATTGTGGCAATAGATAACTGATGCACATACTTAGGTGTATTCTCAAAGACTAACACAATAACTGTCAAATTGATTTTTTCATGGATTTTATTTCAGAAGTAAATTATCTGTCAAGAAGTGACATTAGGGAAGAAATTTTTAAAACTTGAAGTTTGTCAATGCCCTTGTTGTCAATATGTTCTTATTTCAAGGTGATCAATGACTAAATCCATAAAGAAAAAACAGGTATGTCCTCAGTAGAGGACTCCATTCCCCCTCCACTCTGATACTGTTGGTTATTACAGCAAATTTATGCTAAACATATATTATAGAATTCAATGATATCATCAGCAGGTAGTTTCTGCCCAAAGCCGCTGCTACAAGTTGCAGGTTACAAATTTCATCTTCTGAAAAAAACATCCGAAGAATGGCAGCCTTATGAACAATGCATTTTCTTAACAATTTATAGTAGAAGAAAAAGACTTATGGGTACAAGTTTCTCAGTTTAAACTGATATCATAATCATGAACCTGTTAGACTAAGCAAAAGAACTGATTGAAGATTTCAGGACTTTTTTTCATCTAGAAGCAGAAACCTTCATATAGTAGTCTGCTTAAACCAAGATCAGCAAATTAAGAATTAATTAACTACAATTAAACATGCTGATTGAATTATGTTCTATATTTATTTTCTA